TAGAAGCTTTCGAACTTCGTCGCCAGATCAATGGTCTGAGATATTATGAACGCTATGTGGATGATATATTCGCGATTGCACCTAAACAAAACGACGTTTGAGTCCCACGGGACAAAATCAATCAAGCACACCCATCAATCAGATTCACGCTTGAAGAAAAACAGTCCAGATCGCTCCCCTTTCTGTATGTGCTTTTGAGCAGAAGGCCTGCAGTTAGTATTCGACGTCGCGTCTATCGTAAGAAGACGTGGTCCGGACATAAAAAGAATTATAGGAGGTTCGTAGCATTAAACATAAGGCGCTGCTTGACACAAAGTGTAAGGAGGATCTGCTCAGCTGATAGCATTGAGGTGGAACTTAAGATTGTTGAAATTCGCATTCGCCAGAACGGGTACCTCGAGGTTTTCATTGCTAGGTACGTGACCGAAAGACTACCAATGCCCTCGAGGCTGACGGCAGACAAAAATAAGCTTTTCCTCAGGGTGCCGTTTCAAGGGGACGCGCCAAGTGAACTTTTAAGAAGGCGCCTAACTCAATCTATATCACACACCTTACCGGCAGTCGACGCCCCTGTACTCTTTTCTACTAGTCCCATCATATACGGAGAGGACAAGGACAAACTGTCAGGCCAGACAACCTCTGTATGTATTAACTCCCTCACCTGCTTCTGTGGGGCAGAATATATTGGTGACAATCTCAGTAAAGACATGCCCGTGATTTACCATAATTCAATGCAAGACGCACCGCATAGCCTTGTACACCAAATCCGGTGAGATGGGTGCAAAGAACAGTGTCACGTCGACGAACAGTATCGCCTCGTGAAGCTCCACTTTTGCTCGCGAGAATTGGTGAGGAGTTGAGATGCCGATTTTACTGACGTCCCAGATGCACCTGAAAGAAGATGTGGTTTGCGAGTCATCCCGGCTGACCGGGCTGCCGCCTAGGGCTACGATCGGTCGAGGCGAAAGGTGGGATTTTAGGGCACCCCCTGGCAACTGGCTGGCGCTCAGCCAGTCGCTTCTATTTAATGCCATTAGTCCAAACCATATATGCGTTGAAGATGAAGACCGTTTAACTGATAACTAACATGTCCTGAGACGGTGACGGTGGCGGCTGCGAGGATGTTGTGTGGTAGGACAGTCAGCGGTTGAGGCGAGATTGTGTGCCTGTGGCATCCCGTTCTCCTGGTTATTCTCTCATGACGTCCTCTGGCAGCCTAAATAACACTTCCTGCCAATTGGATACTGATTGCAACGTACGTGACATAGCCATGTCGAGGAGACAGCTTGACGCTAATCGGCGTTGTGTCATTCGCTGATCGGGCTTCTAGGCGGACAAAGGTCATGTGGGCAAGCACGCACGCACGCACGCACGCACGCGCGTACCGCCCTCGGCGCACCTCCAAAGGATGGGCCTCGCCTTGCTGAAACAATTGTCGCCAATGTCTTCTGAGTCGCATCTGCAGTCCCCTGTCACAGTAAGGGCTGCTCGACCAATTCTCTGTGTCAGTCTTCTGTTTACACAGCAATCAACACCCCCTTCCTTTCCGTGTGCGTACTTCTGCCTACAACCATTCCATTGTGCGGTTAACTGACAAAGGGCAATATAAAAATGCATGCTCCATCTCCTAGCCATTATTATTATCATCATTAATTTTAGTGTTATTCATATAGACACAACTGTGATAAATCGGCGCCTCGGTGGGTTTCGAACCCACGCAATAAGGGGAATTCTTCAGTACAGCCAACGCTCTAACCACTTGATCTACGAGGCCCCGTCGGACGACGCGAGTTTAATCACATTTGGATCAAGTTACCCGCCCAACTTACTGCAACGTCTGGAATCCACCAAATCTGCTACAGTGAGTTGACTGTCCAAGCAGGATTTCCTAAGTAATTCACCTAGAATCCACCAGATGACTACCAGGCTCACGTAATTCATAGATATTTTCGCGGATTTTGAATAATCCATATTGACCCAACTGTGAAAAACTCGGCACCTCGGTGGGATTCGAACTCACGCAGTAAGGGGAAGGCTTGATGACAGCCAACGCTCTAACCACTTGAGCTACGAGGCCCCGCCAGACTTTGCAGTAAGTTGGGCGGGTTAACTTGACGCAAATGTGATTAAACTCGAGTCGTCCGGCGGGACCTCGTAGCTCAAGTGGTTAGAACGTTGGATGTTCTAAAGCCTTTCCCTTACTGCGTGGGTTCGAATTCCACCGAGGCGCCGAGTTTTTCACAGTTGGGTCAGTATGAATCATTCAAATTCTGTCAAAATATCTATGAATTATTAT